GCCCTAAACCCTAAGTAAGCCCTAGGTGAGCAACCTGCTGGGGTGGTACAAAGGGGCTTCCTTTGCAGCCGGCGCTTTTACGTTCGTGCGCTGCTCCTTGCTGGTGATTAGTAGGGAATAAGGGAAAATGATCCCTATATGATCCCTATATAACACATTCCCCCATCCCTAAACGGCCCAAAATCCAACACCCTAAACTCGATGTATACAATTAAATATATGGGCGGTTGTCAAAATTATGATCCCTTTTTGGATACCCTAAATATTGGGTGCCGTATTATAATACTGTTGATACTAAAAATCCTGCATGACCCTAATATACTATAATACCATAATTCCCAAGGTATAAGGTACCTAGGGTCATGCAGGATTTTTAGTATCCACCGTAGGGATCCAAAAAGGGACCACAATTTTGACAACCACCCATATATAGATATTCCCTTATTCCCTACTAACTGCCAGTAAGGTTCTTCGCCTGCGATGCGGAGATCAGCGAGGCAGTAGTGGAGAGCCTGAAAGAGGCTCCAAGAAGCTTACCCATGGTTAGTAGGGACTAGGGGAATTTAGGGTTTGGGATTAGTAGGGAATAGGGGAATGGATTTTCATTTATTATTATGGGGGTTATATAGGAATGATATTCCCTCATTTCTTTTTATCCACTAGTAAGGTAGGCATTGTTACTTTCACTTCCAGCACATGGGCGGTGCAGTGGCGGATGGGAGCAGTGCATTTCTGGCCCGAGACGCGGAATGGTCGCTCGTGATCTCCGCAGCATGGGCTGAAGATGAGGGCGACTGCAGCCACTGGGTTAAAAGTGTTATGGAAGTCTTGCTGCCCGTTGCTTTGGGATGCTACGCAACGGACCTCGGCCCAGATGATGTCGACCTGGCTCGCCAAACTTTTGGCACCCATACCAGCCGATTATTGCGCTTGAAGCAGAAGTGGGATCCTGGCAACATGTTCAGGCATGGCTTTCCTTTGTCCCAGCTGGGGCAAGCTCCATGAAAGCCCCTCCCGAAAGTATGGAAGGCCTTGGAACGAAAAGCGTGCCTCATTTGCTACCCAACGCGCTCAAGGAAAGGTGTATCGTTGTTCCGTGACAGTTCAATCCGTGGGGGGCGACCTCTGACCTCAGTCCTCAGTAGTAGTGATCTATAAGGTGATTTCCCAAAATTAGGGGTACCTTTTTGGGGGTCCCCATAATAAGGACTGTAATATTTTGGGGTCTATGTTGGGGTCCCCTTAATTTGGGAAACTACCATAAGGACGTGCTTGGCTGACTTCAGGAGACGTCCAGCATTAGGTGGCGGGTTGGGTGAACGTCCATCATGCCACTGACAATGCTGCCTCGAGTCAAAGCAGCCCGTGTGGAAGATGAGCACGTCAACCATGCCGCCATCCAGAATTGCACACTGACTTGCGAGCAATTTTCCCAAAAGTGTATGACAGCCCTTTTCACAAAAAGAAAAACCATCAGACGGAGCAGCATAGAAGCATTCAAACCCATTGAACTAGTTTCAAGTCAAAGCGCAAGTTGCGTATGGCTGCAGCAGCTGATGTCCGAGAAGCTCCCCTGCACTCGTCCCAAGCTTACGAATTCGAAATATTGACAGGGGTTCGATCAGCTTTGCTGTGTTCACAAAAAAATGGGTTCGATCAATGTGACTCGAACTCTCAACTCCATCTGCTTTAGCAGTCAGACTCCTTGGATTTGTTTGAATCTCTCAGTCTTGGTGCTATGACGCAGCTGCTCTGGTGAAGTCAGTTACTTTGCGACTTCTTTGTGGTGATGTGGCCTTAATAGCAAGAAAGGGTTCTTCAAGAGAATACTGTCTGTCTGCCCAAGAGATCTCTCAACAACACTCAGGCTAGTGGAAGTGCAGGAGGACTGGGGATGGACAGTCGATGTAGCAAACCAGCTCAGAGTTCAGCAGTTGCCGCGATGATTCCATCTTCATGTGCTCCCCAATTGTGGTGGAGGTGAAATATCCGTGCTGAGTCTCAGCATGTATCCTTCGCACCTTTCCAACTTTTTTGTGATGGTTTGGCTTGCCCCAGGAGACGCGACAGCAGATTTGCGGTGGACGCGTGTCTAAGCTTTTTGAGTAGAAGCCTTTTCTTTCGAGTATTTGGGTGGCAGTATTTGGGTGGTCAACTCCACTCGCCAAAGTAAACACTGTTTCCCCTAAACCCTAAACCCTAAAGACTGGCCGAGGTGCTAGTGCGCATCCGGCTGGCTCCAGACGAGGCTTCGGTCTGCTTCGAGAGCCATCGGGGTTCTTCATGCTGACAGGATACTTGGAGGGTCAGGGGACTTAGTAAGTAGGTTAATAATGGGGATAAATAGGGTTACTATATGGGTTATAAGGGTTATTAACCTACTTATTAAGTCCCCCTGACCCTCCAAGTAAGCAGGTATCATCA